GAAGAAGATCGGTCGAAGCATGAGTTATGAAGTGTTGAGCGAAGTAAAAACCGAAGATTACACACCGCCCCTGGGCGAGCAGGCGCGTTACAATTGGCGAAGCGGTTCCATAACATGTGGTTCTAGTGTCGGCCCTCGCGGAGGAATGTCTTAAAAATGATAATCCAAACTCAATTAACCAGCGTGCCTCTGGATGGAGTAATGCAACGTCATACTAGCAGTACATACGCCAAGGCCCTCAAAGGTAAACATCCAACCACGTGATATTAAAGATATTCCTGAAGTAGATTTATGCACTTGACAGTGAATTGGAGAAATGTAGATGGGCCACTGTCAACAACTTGACCCGTTAATAGTTCAATACTTGCTTCATAACAGAGATATACTTACTGTACGGGACTTGTGTGCTTATGGCCCACACAAGAATATCCATAAAGTCTCGATTCACAAACGCGTCCAGCTCGACTGTCAACAGATCTCCCGTAACGATCACTCCTTCCTGCTACATACTAATACAACGCAGCCTAACTTGCGTACTGCGAACGATACATACCTAGTGCTATCAAATTACAGTGCTGGGCGGAAAAGTTCGCAGCTTCAACGATCTAGATATAAAGAAAATTGTATGTACAGTAGTATACCAGTGAATGCAATTATAATAAAACTCGTTTCAACGAACGAAAGGGAAATTTCAGTGAACACATCCAATTGGATAAAACCCATCGGAATTTCAACGAATGATACCTGACTGTAACGTTACGCACATCATGTCGCAATTTTGAGCAAACGTTACCTGAATCAAATTTCGAACTCAGGAGGGGGGTTTACCCTGAGAACCCTCCTACCGACTTTAACACGCCAAGCGAAGCCCATCATATTCGTATTACATGAAACTATATTTCAATTACTGTTGGAATTGATTTTTCAAATGCACTCTCTACAGTTCGACTTGAAATTCTGTCCCAAACACGAATAGTGCGCTGGATTGTTGCTGCTCTCTTGTCCTCAGCAGTCATGTTGTCTGTCTCACGTTCTTCTTCTTCCATCAACCACTCAGACTTTAGCATAGCCTTCAAGGGACCCATAACACCGACGTCTAGAGGCTGGCAGCGACTTGTCGAGTTGGGAGGAAGCGGTTCAATGACACTAAATAGTGCTTCCGCGGCCTTGTCTTTGGCCTTTTTGGAGGTTGTCAACAAGCAGAACTGACGCATCTTCGACATTTTGCGCCAGCACCTGCTCCAAATACATCATCCAAACTCGGTACACGTGAGGGCCAGGGTAGGTGGGTAGCTCCTTGTTCTCAATCGGACCGCCAGACTGGCCCGTCACGATGAACAGCATTGGAAGTTTTACACCTATTCATGCATTAGATTTTACTTTCAATAGAGCTTACCGTCGGCGCGGATTGTAAGGACCACTGTGATGCGTTCAGAATGCTTGCATGACTTACCAACCTTCGACGATTTCGCCTTTCGTGCATAGGTTTTGCCAGGTGGCATGTCAAAAAAGACACCGGTCTCGTCAGCGTTCAGGATTTGGGAGCGCGGAACATCATGGTACTTGCTCCAAAAATGCGCGGCATACCCCAGCCAAACGTCGTCAAGTATTTTTTGGCGGACCTTGTTGACGCACGGGACTCGTTGGGACAGTCGTTCTCGCGTGCAAAACCGGCGCAAAAGGCAGCACAGCGAGTCGTAGCCGGTCGAGGGATTCTTCTTGGTGTTCAGGTACGTGGTCAGCCATTCGTGTTGGTTGCGGCGGATCCACCGCATCATGTGGAAGACACGGACAAACTTTTCTTCGTCTCGGCGCTCGTCGATATAGGCAAGGAGGGCATCCTTGAACGGAATGATGGTTTTGCGTCCCTGACCTCCCAGAGAGCCCTTGGAACCATGCCGTTTGCTGCGAAGGATAGCATGCTCATTGTTGCGGGGCGTGCGATTTGCATGTCGACGCAGAACTTAGCTTCGTCCTGTAGTGGTGAGGCATGAAAGTGGGCTAAGAGGCACTTGCGGTCGCGGTTTGTGTACCGGCGATACTGCTTCTTTGGTTTGACCGAAGTCATTTTGGACTTTGAGATGAAGTGATGTCGATGCAAAATTTGAAATCCAAATTCAAATTAACCAATCACAGCGAGCTTAAAGTATGCTACGTGTTTTATCGGCATGGATAAATTACTTTGTTTTTGTCCAATCATATTGCCAGCACTACTTCGGGACAAAATGAAATTTTTTATTATTGCTATGTGCAACAGTCCGCGAACTTTTCCGCCCATCACTGTACTGTACCACTAGGAAGCCTCACATTCCCCTTTGGCAGGTGACCTGTACAATAGAGGAGGATTGGTCAATTGGAATCCGGCAATTTGTGATTTTCTTGAGATCTCATTGGATATGAAAATAGTAGGACCAGCTCCCTACGATTTCGTCAATTCACAAATGAATTGCGAAATATTATGCTTGCTACAAATTCGTATATAACTTGAAAAAAAATTGAGGTTGAGGATTTCGAAATATTGAAACGTAGGGGTGTGCGTGCGCCTACGATTGCATACAAAATTCAAATTCTGGCCTAGTACTGTCAAATGTCTTGATTAAAATATTGTATACTGCATATTCTGTGGCCGCAGTCTCCCTGTGAATCGTCATATTTCTTTGTGATCCTTAGTACTTCGAAGTACTACTTTTGTATTATCGCCAAACCCTCTATCGATTTTGTATGAAAGAGAGTCCTGTTTTGAATGTTACTTCACTTGATTAACCTATACTACTCGGATTGGAAATGAAGGGTCGTACAATGTACAGTACTGTACGTACTATGTAACGTGTACTGCATATTCAGCTGCACATATCTTGAAGGATTACTATTAAGTATTTCGGACGTTAACTTGAATAACATATTCAATGTACATCATGTATACTTGGTACTACCAGTAGTAACATTCAACTGCACATATTTTAAAGGATTATTATGATGTATTTTTTATGTTACTGATTAACATACCGGTACACAATGTACAGAACTGTTTGTACACTATGTACTGTATACTACTATTCGACTGGAAATATCTTAAAGATCATTACGTAGTATAACGTATGCTGAATCAAACGTCGTTTTCTTTAGTCAAAGCTCTTTAGTTAGATATTGATAGAAGGAAAGTAAAATGTTTGGAATTGAAGTAATAAAATTGTAAAGATGGCCACTCCAAACAGTGATCATTGATATGCCGAAATATAGATTTGATTAAAGTATTCGAAATGCCTCGAGCAAACGATGCAAATATCTATTTGAAAGAAAATAAGTATCATATGTTCAATCAGAACAAGGTTGGAACTCTACAACAAAATACCTCGAATAATACGTCGAAGTATCAACTAACCAAGGCTATAATTGCTGCGGTAAATAGTTTTATCCAATCCCATCAATTCTGGCATCTTATTCGGCAAGACGTTCGGCAAATCAACAAATGTTTACCCTATCACCGAATGTGCCACTGCATTTGAATAATATGGATAATTCTCCTATAAATGTGATATACTACGTAGCTTGATAAAATATGAGGGAACATAGTAAAAATCAATCATCATAGTACTTCCCTTTATCTGGGTATTTACGAAACACACCTAATAATAGTAGTACTATTGTACGGTACAATGGGGATGATACACGACCGATACAAATTGCGATATAAATATGAAATACTCCATAAATACGCACTTTGAAACGACTGGTGAACACGCAATCTTGTGATTTTAATTTAGCATCTCTCGCATTTGCATTTGGACTTCATAAAAATTATGGAGAAAAAACACACGCTCTCTCCTGCCGAAAAGCTCTCGGTGGTCAAGTGCCACCAGTACTTCATGCAATGCAAGGAGAGGAACCCAGCCGGAGCAAGCTACGATTGAGCGGGTCATTGCCGAATGGAGGAAGAACCACGACCGGTCCTTCAAAGCCTCGCAGCGAGTACGCGTGTCCAATCGGCGATCACCCGCCGACCACTTGACAACGGAACTCCGCGACACCATTGCTTCTGCAAACCAACATTGCTTGCCTGTGTCCGCCGAGTCGTTGTCCAAGACGCTGGAAGATGTGGACGGAGTGACCGTACACAAGCGCACTCTCCGCCTAGTTTTGAGACGGATGGGTTTCAGATACCAAAAAGGTAAGACTCGGTTTTACCTCGCCGAGTCGGAAGAAATGTTGCCTTCCGAGCAAAGTACATCCGCAAGAAGTTAGCGAACCGTATCGACAACAACCACGTCGTTGCCCCCGAAGTGTTCCTCGACGAATCCTACTGTAATCTCAACCACACGCCGCGCAACACATGGGTTGACGTAACGAAGCAGCGTAACTCCAAGAGTGACAAGGGCCCTCGTATGTGTATTGTTGGAGCTGGAGTCGTGCGCACAAAGAACTGTGTCATATTTAGTGAGTGGGTCAACGGATTCGTCGTCATGTGGCAGTCGTTGGGCAAGTCGAAACGCAAACGAGCTGTTGTGGCGGATGTGGACGACGATGACTATCATGGGAACTTTACAAGCGAGATTTTCGAGGACTGGTTCACCAAGCTGTGTCGGTCGTTACAGCAAGATCATGGCGCATGCAACATTCACATGGACGGCGCGAGTTATCACAAACGCATTACGAATCCGCGCCCCAAGGTGTCCAGCCGGAAGGCCAACATTCTAGCGTGGCTCGCGGCGAAAGGTATCGATGCGACCCCAAGCTGACGAAAGCTGAGTTGCTCGTGATGGTCACGACGTCCCGCGATGGACCTCGGTACGCCCCCCAGCTCATTGCAACTGAGTACGGCCATACCCTGTACTACACTCCCCCGTACCACCCTGAGTTGCAGCCGATAGAGATCATTTGGGGCATCGTGAAGCAAAAGATGGCCCGCCGGTTGTCGACCTCCATGGCGGACATGGACGCACGCTTGAAGAAATTCATGAGTGAGGTCCCTTTTTCCCAATTGGTGTCTGCGCATAGAAAAGCACAAGCATTTGAGGGTAAGTATGCTGAAGTGAATGATGATGACATACGTTTGGCCGGCAGTGATTCCGATTCGGATAGCTGTGGCCGGGACGGCGACGTAGCTTTCTTGCTTGGTGAAGAATCTGGCGAGGAATATAATTAAACTCATCTGTTTAATTGTATAAATCAATCGTCTTTTCACGTATCACTTTTGAAAGTCAAATTCTAACCAATGAAACGATTTACTATTCATTGTTGGCCAATCAAATTATAATTTTACCCTAAGCATGGTCTCCAAAACTTTCAACTTGCATTAAGCGAAGAGCCATTTCCGTTTAGATGACACGCTCGGATCAAGTCATGGTCATAGAAAACACTTTCAGAATGGATCTCTACTTTTTTTATTTACAACTTTCATCTAAAACGGACTAAAACTGACAGAGTTATCGTCGTCGACCTGGTGTATCATCCCCATTGTCCCCTACAATAGTAGTATCATTGATGTAAAAATCGACCAAGCATTCAAGAACAAGCATTGACTGCTGTCATGCCAGACCAACGTGAACCAAGGTACATTCCGCGATCGACACTCCTACCTGATGCATCTACACTAAGCATAATGTTAACACACATGGTCTACAGCAATTCCATGAAGCAGCAGGGCCCACAAGGACCAACAAGACGACGATGCGGCGGGCCGAGTTGGGTTCGGGACGGCGAGCAAGGTCGTTGATCACCGAGGTACGTTGACATACTACGCGCAGTTGCTAACATTCATTTCTTTCTGTAGTTTCATGAGTCAATCCGCGCACTATAAGGTCCACACGGCCCACAAGACCGATATGAGAGCGGCCACGATTGTCGCTCGACTTCGCCCCACAAGAACTGTGGTAAATTACGATTGAGTAGCATGGAGCGAGCCATGGTGACGATGATGCCCATACGCCGCTCGGCCACAGGGTTCTGGGTCGGGGTATAGACATTCATGTACGTAAGGCGGGTGTCGTATTCGCTGTGAATACGGGCCCCGAGTTTAACATACTCCTTAGCGTTGTGCATTTGGAGCGCTTGGATTTCTTCGAACTCACTGGGTGGTGAGTGATGGTAGCAAAGCTGGATGACGTCGGAGCGATAACGTTGCCGTGCGTCGCGACAGAACGCGTTGTACTTGTCGTACAGGTCCGCGCGCTGTTGCATGATGTACACAAAGATGTATCGGATAAAGTCGTCGATGAACGTGACGAAATATCGACCCCCAGAGATAGACGGGATATTGATTGGACCCCACACGTCGGAGTGCACTCCTTCCAGAGGCCTCGACGACTCGGGCAATTTGTTGCGTGAGAGGGGAAGTACTTTGGACTTCGACCTTAAACATGTGTCGCACGAAGCATGGGCCGTGATGGCCTGCCGAGAGATAGGAAATTCAAATACGGTCGAATGACGCCGCAATTTGCGTAGCTTGTCATGACTTGGATGGCCCAGTCGTTGGTGCCATTGCATAGTGCCCTGTGCACTCGACTGCGTCACGAGGACGGTCGATGTGGGGTCGTCCATGAGCGGTGAAAGCCGCGTCGCAATGACATACAACCCGGTGGCTTCGTCGTAGGTGGCTAGAGTCCACTCCTGTGGGGTGATGGAGACAATTTTATGTCGATCAATATGTAGTGCACAACTCATGGAAAATAAATGAAGTGTAAATCTGGGATGTGATACACATCCTGCAGATAGATCACTAAGAGCATCTCCACCGCACCTCCAAATGGTCTGGTTATTTTTGGGACAAACCAGAAATAACCAAAATACCCAATTTTTCATCTCCACCGCACTTCCAAATGGTCCCTTTAAAATAGAGAGACCTCAAATTCTGGGCAAAATCGAGCGATTTGGAGGGACCACGAAGGTTTCCTTATTTATTGTACATACAAAATCCTTCATAACAAAACCCAATAGTACTATGAAGTAAACAACGTTTGCACGAATGGTCATGTGCTGCGAAGCATAGGTGCGGGCCATGGTTGTACACGCCATAGAAACGAGCGTCCACCTCAATGGTGGCACTGCTATCGTAGAAGTATCTACTTGGAGCACCGCTCACCGTCGTGAGCAGGCGTACCGCCATCTAACACCTCAGCGGTTGAGGTGTTCGATGGTGGGGTCGCTTTCGTTGTCTGCTACTGTGATCTTGTAATCTTGTGATACATAACTGGACATTTTCGCTATCACGACTAGCAGCCTACAACTGTGACAGAGACACTGCCCAGTTGTGCCACAAAGGTGGGTTGCTGGCGGCATCACCTTCGTATTCTTATCTTGAATGCAAAGTATACGGAGGTGATGCCGCCAGCATCCACAGACCCGACGGCGCAACAGCTGATCACTTCCAAATCGCAGCGGGCACGGATCAAGTGATGACAAAGCCGTCATAACAGTTAAGACCATTCACTCGAACTACCGGTATGACACGTGGGCATTCAAATTTGCCCAACAAAATAACCATAAATGCCGGCATGTGTGCGTGAAGGCTTGAATAAGGAGTCTGGTCACGTTGTTAACGTGTGTTTTGCGACACTAACGTACGGGTAGAGCCGCGCGACGCGCTGCGGCTCGCTGCGCTGGGGGGTGGAGGCCTGTTGGGCGTAGCCTTGGTCGACCGGCGGCGCGCTGCAGCTGCGGCTGCGGCTACGGTGGTGCCGGTCGGCATACATCGAGTGACTGCAGCTGCGGTTTCTTGCGCCGGTCGTCTTGTTTGGCGCCGCTGTCGTCGCGATAAGACCCGCGGTCTTCGCGGTAGTCGCGGTACCGGTCACCTGAGCGACTGCGGTAGCAGGAAGCCGACTGACTACACGGGCTACGGCCGCGATAAGCGCCGTAGCCGGAGTGGCCGCCTTGTCCCATGCTGGCGTAGCCTGGATGGCCTCTGGGAGCGTAGCCCGGTAGGCCGCTTGATGCGTAGCCTTGGCTAACGGTCTTGAGGAAGGAGGTTCCGGTTCCTCCACCGCGCCCGCCGCCATTGCCATGGCGTTTGCCACCGCGGTGGCCGCTTGGTCCGCCTTGAGTGCTTCGACCACCACCACTTTGGTGTAATTCGCCAGGTGGGATGGCAGCCCATCCTGGCAGAAACACGAAGTCTTGACGCACCGCGTTCTAGTGGAACGCACGGGAGAGCTTCGTGCAGGTGTACGTCGAGTGACTGTCTGAGGACAGGCAGTAGCCACACCAATCCGCCATGTGGTCTTCACCTTGGGTGCCCCAGGGTACGATGGCCGCTTATCCGTAGCCTTCTCGCTGGCTGGCGCCATCACGAAGGGTCGGAAGTGCCAATGCGCTAGACCGCGATGTTGCGGTCGTGGTTACCGTGCCATGCACCGGTTCAGCCGAGGCGTTCGACGCTGGGCCGAGGTAGTGAGGGTACTTGGTGACCAAGCCCGGCCAGTGTTGCTCAAGCAACTGGCGCATGTTCCTGTATGGGATGCTCGGCTGAGCGCCGCGCCATACGAACAGGTCTGGAGCGATGCACTCAGGTAGTGCCGCAGGAGGGCCAGGGCTAAGTGGTTATCGCTGAGGGTTCGCCCTTCCAGCTTCTCCACTGCCGTTCGCATCTTGTCGATGGCTTGGAGGTTGACGTCCAACGACACGTAATGCTTGAACTTGAACGAGTGTAACCGTTGGTAGACGGAGATTGCCGTTGCATGTTTTTGTTCGTCGCTGGAGAACTTCCGCCGAAGCGACGAAATGATGTAATGCGCACATTCGTCGCGAATCTCGGAAGCGGTGGCCCAAGGCAGCGGCATCACGCTGCACCGTGGGTGACAAGGAGGCGTAGACCAGCGCGCATGAGCTCGCGATAGCCGTCTTCTCCAACTTAATCACCTCATTCTCGTGGTTGCGGATGGACCTCGCGATCGCCTCTTCCGTCGAGCGGTTGTCCGCGAGCCATTCGGTGAGCCCCGGACCCAAGGGTGAGTGGGCGTCGAGCGTGAGTGGTGGGAGCGGCGGTGCACCGACAGGCAGTGCTGTCGCTTCGGCTTGGAGCAGCCGGATGCGCTTCAATCATTCAGTAGCACCCTGTAGACTCGACGGAGTCCCTTCATGAACGTGGCCGTCTCGACTTGCGCGCAGTGAGTCCCCATATCGGTGAGATCCTCACCGGCAAGGATGACGGAAGTGAGTTCAGAGAACCACTCGTCGAAGTTCTCGGCACCGAGGAGGCGCTGCGTGAACGGTAGGGCAGCGCGCGAGTTAGAGGGTGGAAGGCTAATAACCAGTGGAGAGGGCAGTAGGCAGGAACAGACACGTGGGAGGCAGAAGGAATAACTGGAAGTGAATTACTTCTGACTGGAAAGAACCAGCCAATCAAAACTAACTATGATTGACCACGACATCCAATGATATTCCGTGACCAAATGTCTGCACTGACTTCTACTCTGAGGAAAAAGCCACTAGAAGGTACAAAAACCTCCTACACAGCTAGCAGACGCTGCTACTGACTGACAGGGCAGTGGGGATGTTCTCTATCAGAATCCAACCAGTAGCATGGTACTCAACAACACATGGTACGCTATGTCTATCCAGATTCGGACAAAAGCAGACGACTCGCTTATACAGACATTCATTTTAAACATTTCGTTTTTTACGGATAACTTCGCCAATCAAGGCCGATATTTTGGTGCTAATTTGAGCTTAATTTTGGCGAAGTTATCCGTAAAAGCCGAAATGTTTTAAATGAATGTTGCGGACTGTATGTACAAGAGGTACAGTACATATATATATTAGTATAATTAACCACCACCAAGAACGTTGTGGTATTGGTCGGGCAGCACCGTCGAATTGATTTCGCACATGGCAAAATGCGGTTCTGGCACGCGATTCGGAAATCGTTCGTGAAATGTCTGGCCCACTGCCTTTAACTGCATCGGCCCGGCCCGGATCTTTGTCGAAGTGCCTATCAAAACAAAAACATATTAGATATAGAGTATATATACATATATATACATACCCCTATTCACAGGTCTAGCCTCCCACGCCAGCGACCACGGTGTTGTGGCGGTGGCTTCATACACCTTGAGCACATCACAAGGCACGCTTTCCGATTGATTCAAGCATGGAGAGTACTGCGGCTGTACCCCAGCTGACGACACCCGCGCGACTTGCTGGTATCTACATCATCTCATTTTTTAATTTATTTAGGCCCTCGTCAAACAAAATAGACGTTAATACCGCAGCGGAAACGACACTTGGTGGTCGAATTGCTTTAAATACGCATCCAACTCTTTGTTGTTGTCGCAATGGTTCAAGGTGGGCTCGATGTTTTGAAGAGTCGTGGACGAGATGTACGGAGACTGGGATAAGCAAGGCAAGCAATCTTGGTTACGGACTTGGTCAGTGCATTGCTGGCCTAATAGTTTCCAATATATTTCAATATTTCATCGATTTGCAATTATTCTAATGTTCAGGACATACCATAGGTAAATTGTGGCGGGGCAGACGGCCGGGGTTCCCACACTCGGCCGTTCCAATAGCTCGCATATTGTCCAAAATCCACAGGAGCTGAAATATATATTTATTCACACTATATAAAATGAAGATAACGATACAATATATACCAAGGTACTGTCGAAAGGGCACCAAGGACGGTGATGTTGGAGGAAAATGCAAGTTTAACGCAAAGCTAATGATGTCCTGGAGGGCTCCGTCGCCATCAAAATCCCCTTCCATCTCCACCATCACTGCCTATATCAGAATTAATATATTTCAAATATGTATATATAATACCTCTACACCAAGATAATCCGATGTGAGCTTGGAAACGGATAAGTACTTTGCTCGACGTTGTTCAACTACGTGTTGTGGTCCCGTCATTCGATCGGGTCGAGTGGGGTGCAGCCCATTGTCCACCTTGAACCTAATATATTCAAATATCGGAATATGAGGAAATATATATTTAGTTTTGGCATCATGTCAAAGGTCGAGAATATCTTACGATTGCACACGATCCCTCAGTTCACTTGCCGACGCCGTCATCCATTTCATGTACGTATCCAACGACAACCTACCCCAGAAATTAATCAGTAGTACATATTTCGTATATATATATATATTTACGTCGAGGTGTTGGTAGGCAGGAGGGACAACATGACAGGAGCATTCATAAAGCTGACGCCGATATCCGATTCGAGCAGGGCCATTTCGCTCGCGTTGAGGTCGTTGGACTTGTCAAAGTCGTAGTTTAGAAACATCACCGTCGACGCCTAGTATAACCCCATCCAATCACATCAAACCCCGAAACCCCCTAACCCCGAAACCCCCGAAATACTAGCCTTACGTTGAACAGGAACCGCTCAAACATTTCATAGTAAACTCGTCCGTCAAAGTCTGGATCGAGCAAGATCGAAATCGAGTCCAGTCTCGGCAGTTGGCGGTCGATTAAGAAGCGCGCGAGTTCGTTTTCGTCCAAGTACCCTGACTTGTCGAGGTCGAATCGGTCGAACGCCAACGCTGGATCGAGTCCCACCCACTGGTCAAACTCGGCGTACGTGATTTGGCCGTCCTGGTTGGGGTCCATTTTCACGAATTCTTCGCGTTTTAACGCTTCCAAGTCGGTTAAAAACGCCTGAAATGCCTCGGCGCTCAGCGTCTGCTGCCCAGATTGCACCTAATTCAATCAAATTGTAACCCCCCAACTAGGTGGATGTACGTACCATCTGGGCCACTTCGTCCAGCGTCAACTTGCCGTCCGAGTTCAAGTCCATGTGTTCGACATCGAACGCGTCAAACTTTTGTAGAAACGACCGACTCATTTGCACGCCCAGCGTGTCCAGGATGAAATCCATCATGTTTGGGGGGTCCGTCGTGTTGATAAAGGTCGCTGTTTCCGCCGCGGGCGGGTAAGTGACCTGATGCATAGTTTATTTCGTTGTACGGGTTATCATATTTGGGAGGTTGTCCCTTACCTCCAGAGACCGAGGAAGGGCGTACTGACTTGCCATACCGGCAAACATTTGAAACGTCACGAGCGTAATATTGGTGCTCAATGCGTCAAAGTAATTGCCTCGCCAAGTCTATGGATTACACGTTTACATAATGATATATATATATAAATATTCTATATATATATATTACGAATATTCTACCTTGACGTTATACACTTGAAAGCCCCAATCGGTGTGCGATGGCACGGAAGTGGGTCGAAATGCATTGTTGTTTGGGTCGTGGGGGTCCTAATACTCTCGAAAGTGAAATATTATATTGATGAAAATCCATCAAATCATATAATATTTCATACCTTGTAGCGCGAACGAATGGGTTGATTGAACTGCGCGAGACCGTTCACTTGTTTTCGGTATTGAGGAGGACATCGCTGGTTGTCGACTGGCCAATTATATATTAATACTTATTTCTGGCGATATATATATACAGTATGTATTTGTTCTTACTTAAAACGGACGCATCGCACACATTCGTAGCTCGATCGCAGCACGTGATCGACCACGGCTCGTCTTCAGATCGAAATCTTTGCAAGTATATGTCGTCCACGTTGTCGTAGCTATCAATATATAGATGTATGATATGAATATCATCATAGTAGGAATATTATTCATGTAGATATTTACTCTTTGGTGAAGAAAGCGCGGTGAAAGTTGAGACTGTAATCAACGGAGCCGTCCACGCGCTTGACACTTTCCCACAAGGGGTCCATAATGGGTCTCGGCAGCCAATACTCCACAGTTTTATAATAACTTTGAATCAAATAGGCGTCCTACAAGAAACTATCATTCAATATATATATATATAATACATATATATAATATATATGTACTTTAGTCGACGATACAACTACAGTTTGGTCGTGGGTTTCGTTAATCGCTAGACCACCGGGCGCTTCGGTTGCCGCAGACGGGTAAAAACTAGCTTGGAATCGAAAGGGGCCGTTTGGAAAGTCCGCCGTCGCCACGCCACTCAGCCCCATCTACAAATATATGTATACTAATATATTAAAAAAATATTCTTTAAAACATGAGATGCAATATCTCTCTGACCTCGTTCTTTGGATTGTCCACGTGCACCCACAGTACAAACTGACCTGATGAACTTAACACAACCTGTTTCCAAATATATTTCTTTATATATATATATATATAATATTTTTGGTACCTTTGGACGAGTGGCTAACAGCGCTTGACTCATACCAAAAGGATCGGTGAGATTGGCAAAATGCAATATAATGCCTTCGTTTCTCCATGTGATCAAGTCTGTGGTGGAGCACGCTCCAATGCCGCCGCCCACCACAACGCTGTCGTTGTTTAGGACTTGGATTTCAGAGTACCAATATTGTGACTCTAAAATGATCCATTAGAACTATGATATATATATATATTTACGTTGGGGCAACGCTGACTCGGCAGAAGACACGCCTTCGGCATTGGTTTCCAGTGGAACGACCATTGAAACATCCGGAGAGATCGAAATCGCGACCAGTTCTCCACTGATTAACTCGACTTGGTCCGACTGTGCGTCGTAAACAGGTTCACTAGACAGTATGTACATGTATAAACTAGACAGTAGATACAATGCCAAGGATGTACCGAATGTCGTTAAAGTATACGCGGTGCCCTGGCCCGTCGTTCGGCACCAGGCCTCCGTTGTTGGAACTGTACACTGGACGGCGTGACAAATGACTGTCGTGCCGAACCTGTCAAATATAATGTAATCATCAATACATATATATACTTCGAAGTATATGATATATATATATATATATTATAGGTCTGTCAGATATAATATATTCATCATATTTATACGAACTTGTCAAATATAATACTTTGAAGCATGTTCATCAATATATATGAATATATGTATTATAGGATTACCGGTGGGGTATATTGAGTAGGAGGGCCCACAACCGAAGGCGACCACAGTGGCCGCTGCCGAGGCTGGGCGACTGTGACTTTGCCATTGCTCACAACGGGGCAGCGGAAGGCCATCGTGTGGTCCACGCCAACATATAGTTCATCCCACCACGTTTGCATGGCGTCATAAGTATACAACCCCACCAAATCCACGGTTTCTAATGAGAATGGTATAATATATATTTATATATATATAGGTGAAGTAGTATAGTACCTGCAACGAACGGGACGTGGGACACGGACGTGACGCCGTTGACTCGGATTTCCAACTGCCATGTACTCCAGTTGAGAAAAATGTCGAATTGATACCATTGAAATGCATGGACGACCGGGAGCAGCGGCTAATTTACAGCACGCAGTTAGGATATCAATCATGGGAGGTTTAAGCATGTCATAGTGTATCTGTTCCTGTAGGGAATAAATACCTGGAGGGGAAACCCTCGCGCATTTGTTGAGTACGTAAACGCGCCATCTAGCATTCCAATGCCCACGATAAACAACGTGGGGTCTGCAGAGTCGTGCAGGCCGAAGAGTCCCCCTAGGATTGAATTCATAAGCATTAGAAACCCCAATAACTAATATTTTACGTACCTCGATTGGTCTGCAGTGAGCCTTGTCGGACCGACCCCAGACGAATGAAATACGAGATTCTGGTGGGCTGGCTCGGGAACATGTAAAAACTCGGTCCTTCCAAAGTCGGGATTTGGTCTATTACGCTTTTGGCTATGTATAAAGACTTGGAGGTTTGGGCCGCGCCAATCAATGGGTCCGTGGTGACTACGTACATTCGTTTATACAGTTATATATATATGGAGTAGACGTACTCTGCAATTGGGTTTGCACATCCGTACGAAGTGTATTGCAGTAGACCCCCCCGGTTCCAGAATATGCCACGGAGTGTGCATAAAGGGAAATTTCCCCGTCGGATCCGTCTTCCCCGGGACTTCGGGTACCTTTTCCCCCCAAACCCCCTTTCGCCGATAACGTGCCCATCACGTGGATGCTTGTGCCACTGGAAATTACGAGGGAGCCCCCACTA